GCACGACGGCAAGTGTGTCAAGAAGGCCTACTATGAGGCCGACTACAAGTGCCCATCCGGCTACTCCCTCACGAGCGACTACAGCAAGTGCTGGGCGGACAAGTATGAAGACAAGAAGACCAAGTGCCCCTACGGCTTTAAGTTCGACGACGAGACGCACAAGTGCATCAAATACGACTATGCCGACCTCAAGTACTACTGCCCAGCGGTGAGTGAGTCGAGTGAGAACATCGGCAACACGGCACTGGACGATTCCGCACGCACACACACACTCGTCTGTGTGTGTGCCTGTCATTGCCCCAGCACTTCAAGTTGACGCCCAAGGGCTGCAAGACCACGAAATACGAAGCCAAGGCGCCTTACTGCAAGCACGGCTACCTCGAGGGCGGCAAGTGTGTGGCCAAGAAGACCTATGACGTCGACTACGAGTGCAAGTATGGCTACAAGCTGACTGATGACGGCAGCAAGTGCTACGCCAGCAAAAAGCTGAGCTACAAGTACAGGTGCCCTTATGGCTACGAGCTGCTCGAGGCCGACAAGAAGTGCGTCAAGCCCATCTATGCGAAGGTGGCCTACAAGTGTGCCAAGGGCAAGCTGACCTTCATTGACGCCGAGCATTACGGCAAGAAGACCCCCGTGTGCTGCATATACGACTACCACAACTTTGGGGGAGGCTCCAACAGCTACCACCACTGATTGAGGGTGGCGGAAGGGGACACACACACGCCCTCACTGGTCTGTCTCGTTGTCTTCATTATGTGATTAGTCTGTCTGTAGTACCAGCTGGTGCCTTGATTGTTTCTTTATGTGACGAGATGTGTGTCGTTGTTGGTGGTATGCCCTCCGTGTTGTGTTATGGTGTGTTGTGGTGTTCCTTTGTTCCATGCCCATAGTATGGGGTTAATGTCACCCGGGTGGATGGGGGGCGGGTGGTGAATGTGTTTGTCAAGTGTTGTTTGTTGGTTCATGTCCGTGGTCAAGTCGATGGTGTGGTGGTTTGGTGTCCCGGCAGACGGATTAGTGCCCTAGTCGACACGTGCTCATAGACAGACAGACAGACAGATAAGTGTGTGTATGCGTGTGTGAATTAGGTCATATCATCCATCGCGTGACACCAGGGAGGGAGGGAAGGGAGGCCATGAAGGCAGGGCCGGGGAGGGGGGAGGGGGGGAGGACTGTATGTTCGTGACGTTGCTCAGCTACACGAGACATGACACTTGTTTGTTGACATGCCATGCACTCTCGCCATTCGTTCAATGCATTGGAAGCTCAAGGAATGTGTGACCACATCACTGACATGCTATGCTGCATGTCTGTCTGTAAACGTCATCAGCATCACTCAGAAGCCATTGGATGAATTAATCATGTGTCAGTCAGAAGCTGACGGACTTATCAATTATACACACGGATAAAAAGACCGTAACCGACAGACACGTAAAGCAGCAAAAGGGGGATGCACTGCACCCACCCCGCCAGCCAGCCCTTCATTCCGCCTGCCTGACATCACCAGGCCCACCCCACCCCACCATACATCTACGGCTGTCTCAGCAACCTTCATGGGCCGCTGAGTGACCATCTGACATGACACACACGGCCGGACAGACAGACACTCAAGGCACGTCGTGGGTTGTGGTGTGTGGGATGTGTGTCGTACCTATGTGGCGGCACTGCGGCGCTCGACACACAGCCCTTGGCCATCGAGGCTGAGCTTGTAGGGCCCGCCGCTGAGGAGGCTGATGCCGGCCTGCTGGGCTATGAAGCGCCGCTGGAAGTCGGTGCGCGTGTCAGCCTCAGTCAAACCCACATATGTCTTCTTGTGACCCTGTCCGTCAGCCAAGAGGACGAATGGCGTAGCCACACTGCCTGACAGCTGTGTGTGTGTGTGTGTGTCTATGTGGTGTATTGCGTTGCGTTACCTTGAGCTCGTCCGTGAAGGACGTGATCGTGGCCATCACGTTACTGTAAAAGGTTTCATAGTGGTCATCCTCTACACCGCCTACAGTGAATGAACACACACAGACGCCATGACTGCTGGTTGTCCCCTGCGCCCCCACCCCCTCACTGAGCACGGTGATCGTCACTTCCTCGACCGGCGGCAAGTTGTCGTTGCTGCGACGCCCCCACAGACACGGGATCCGGTTGTTGTGCACGGGCTCGACGAATGCACTCGCCGACAGATACCACTGGACTGAAAGGCTCCTCTCCCGCCCCCTGCTGCTGACCAGCGCCGCCTGCAGCCGCTCGAGGAACCGCCACACCTCACCAACAGGTCCATCCAGCTCCACGGCGTCCTCCCCATCTCCTACCTTGACGCACGACAGCCTCAGCATGTGCGAGGCGATCTCGAGGGCGCGTTTCACGTTGCCCTCATCGTCGAGGGCACCGTCCATCAGCTGCAGGGTGTGGGCGGCGGGGAATGTGTCGTCACTGATGACTGCAGGGATGGCCTCGTCCTCTCCAATGTAAGCCACCGTGCCGGCTCTTTTGGCGAAATCTCCGATGAGTCGCCAAATGCCGGGGCCGCCGTTGCTGCGCGAGAGGAGCTCCGCGTCGATCCGTCCACACGTGCCGTCGTCAGTGAGTGCGAAGACGCCCTTCTCCACTGCTTCGGGATGAGCAATGGCGTCACTGATCGAAGGCAAAGCACAGGACTGAATGGCACCGTCTCTCTGCAGCCTCTCTCTCTCTCTCTCTGTCCCTCTCTCTGTTGTGTCCTTACATGAGCTGCGCAACGCTCTGGCACCGCTCCACAGGCTCGTCACTGCCCATTCACCTCATGTCGATCTCGAGCTCGCGAATGGACTGCCTTACGCCCCTCGCCACCATCACCTCACGGAGCTTGTCGATCCCGATGGCGCCGCTGCAATCCATCTGGACGCCCCGGAGTGTGCGAAGGGCCTTCAGCGACTTCCCGTCGGCGGGCAGCCCACTCAGCGCATTGGCCGCCGTACTGGCGTCCCGTCCGTTGAGCTGCAGCAGTTCAAGAGCTCCGCAGTCAGCCAGCCAAGTCCTTCCGCCCTTCACCCAACTAGCCGCCCAACTGTCCCTGGTGATAAGCGTCTTGACGGCAGGTGTGTGCCACTGGCGGTCCACACGCGCCAGCAGGCACTCGTGGGCTATGTTGCGGACTGTCTTGAGTGCCGGCAGGTGAATGGGGGCGGGGGGGGCGGGGGGCGGAGCTCGTGAGGGGGGAGGGTAGGGGATTACAATGCTGTCGTCGAGCTCGACGGCCTCGAATGACAGCACCTCCAATGTGCCCTGAGGCTCGTCAGCCGATCTGGGGTCGTCACCATCTCGCATCGCCGCAGCGTCAGCTGTCCCCTCCCCTCCCTCCCTCTCCCGTCTCTTCCCTGCGATGGCCGCCCGCTGGATGGCGTGACCCTCCACTAATGCCACCCAGGTCCCGCGACACCATCCATCTGGGATGAGGGTCCATGGTAGCGAGAATTGGGGAGAGGTCCATGGGTGGCGGTGCCTGATCTCTCGCACGTTGGTCGCTCTCTCGCCCCAGTTGTGCGCCACGGCCAGCGGCATGGTCTCCCACATGCGCCGCGCCGTATCGTCCTGCCAGTCGATGACCAGTTTGGTGTAGTTGGCGGCCGACTGATGGAAGAGGGGCGTGCCGAGACGCCGGCGGTGGCGCGTCAGCTCCAGGGCTGCAGGTGGCCGAACACGTTGGCCAACTCGTCGCGCGACAGCCGACGACGGGCCTGAAGCGACAATCAACAGGACAGCAACACGCCATAGGCTGATTGAATCATGCCCGTTGCCGTGCGTGTCCCTTACAGGTCCTTGGTTGACAGGAGGAGGGTTGCCACTTCTGTGGATCAGACGAAATGATGGACGACTCACTGCAGGTGCCTGCAGAAGACAGAGCAAGAGGCACCAATAGATACACACATGAAGAGTGCCGTGCTGCGGCCATCTGCTGTGCGCACCTCGGCATCATCTTGAGTGGCGGGATTGGGTGCGGCCGCCAGGATCGGCTTGAGTGCATCCACCACCCGCGACACGTCCTCATGTGTGCGCGTGAGCTGCGACTGTGCTGTGGCGATGTGGGAGCTGACGAGGGCACGCTGCACATGAAGCTCCAGTGAGGTGGCCGACGGCGCCTGCGCGCAAAACAACAGCAGCAGTGTGCGAGAGCGATGCAGCAGTGTGTGTGACATGCCTGTCCAGAGAGGCTGGGAGGCTGCGCCTGCTCAAAGTGAGACCGCAACGCGCCAAGCTGCAAGGAAGACACATACACACAGAGCCGATGACTCTTGTCGCGCAGGAAGGCAGGCACACCGCTGTGTTGAGCTCCTGCAGGTGCCGGAGGCCCTCCTCGACTGCTCGCGTACCCTCCCTGACCTGACAGTCACACACGAGAATGGAAGACAATCATCAGAAAGAAATTTGTCTGTGGCGGTTGCTTGCCCACCTGATGCACATCCATGCTGACAGGCTTATTAAATTGAACGACGAAATAATTCTCAAAATTTGAGCTCGCCAGTCGAGAATTCGCGCCTGAGACGGAGACCCTTTTCGCGCCGCGAAGCCATTTTCTCGGCTGTCCCTCGTTTGTGATTTGTCCTAATGGGTCCTAATGGGTTTGTCTTGCCGTCATTTGCTGGCACTCGAAAGCATGCCCGACGGCACCAGCCCACACGCGCCTCGCGGAGCTCCACGAGGAGATCCAGCGGCTGCATGACGCATGTGCGGCCCTCACCCGGGAGAAGGAGGCGCTGGCCAAAGATAAGGAGGCGCTCTCCACAGGCAACGAGGAGCTGAGGGTGGAGAATCAACACCTCCGCCGAAAGCTAACCGAGAGGGAGCGGGAATATGAGGATAGGGGCATCGTAGAGCGATATAAGGGGGAGAAGGGCAGCCGGACGGACCACAGCATCTTCGTCCGGGCTGGCGCCAAGGAGCGCCATGATATGGGCAGCATCCCCGGCGCACATCCAGTGCAATTCTATGACGTAAGCGATGAAAACTACATGTGTTGCATGGGTCTCACTCTCACTCATTCTGTGTGGTGTTGTGTTGTCACTCATGGATTCAGGAGGCAAGCCACTCCTTCAAGGTGGCGCAGACGAGGGCGGGCTACAAGTACGACAGCAACGGGTACGCCAAGGACATCACCCACCTGTTCGGGCCGCAGATGGCGCAGGAGAAGGCTGTCGTGGTAGGTCACTCAACCAGCCTGGCCAGACAGCCCTTTGTGCACACTCTCGTCCCTTCGCCTCGCTGTTTGGCTTGTCGCTGGCTGTGTGTGCAGCACGTGAGAGTGGACCGTGCCAAGGCGCCGAGAAGGACCTCCTCTACACCACGGGCGAGCGCCGGTATACGAGGGATCGAAGGCCGACCAAATACACGAACGCACACCAGCTGATGGAGGTGAATACCACAAGCACGCCGCCAGCACTTTATACGATTTCGTATCATTTCATCGCATGCTGTTGTGTGTGTGTGTGTGTGTGCGTGTGTGTGTGTGTGTGGTTTGTGCAGGAGATTCAGAAGCAGGGCCTGGAGGAGAAAATGACTCTAGAATTCGCCGGCGGTGCTGCCGAGTAGCAGCTCCTCGACGAGGCCATCCGCCATGGCATGGCCATCGACTGGTCGGTGGAGGAGAGGGAGGTGAAAGTGGACGAGGAGGAGGAGCCCATCGACGGCGGGGAGGAGGGCGACGAGGAGATGGCCGAGAAGAAGAAAGAAGATAATCATAATCATCATCATAATCATCTGGTGCTGCAACATGTAAGTGACCGGAGCCTCCCGAAATGTCCCTCGGTCTATACATGGGTCTATCGGCGCCATGTGTGTCTGTGTCTGACTCGTTGCAGTATCATTATCATCATCATTTTTCTGATCATGGTGGCCTACATGCGCCTGGAGGCGGGGGAGGACTGCACACACGAACTAGAGACACTAAAGCGACTACGTGTAAGTCTCACTCGCGGAAGCCATGTCGATGTTTCTTTCTCTCTCTCTCTCTCCCTCTGTGTGTGTGTGTTATTGGTCGCAGTTGGGCCACGACGCCCGTCCCCACAGACGCCATCATTGTGAGGACGGGCGTGCCCTTCATTTCTCGGCCCGCCACCACTACAGCAAAACAGACGTGGTAAGTTGTGAATGAGCAGATAGCAATGCATCCATCCATCCATCCAATGTGCACAGCTAGATGAGCGCATGCAGCCATCGACGCCTAATGGATGTTTTTGTTGTGTCTCTTGGTTGCTGCAGTCGTTCAGCTGGACTACTACCTACCGTATGTGATAGATTATCCACACACGCGGCGACTGCACAATTGCAGTATGATCCATACCTGTGTGAAACATGATGGGTGTGTCTGGTGTGGCTCTTCCTTCCTGTCTGTCTGTCTGTCTGTCTGTCTGCAGGTGGATCTTCATCCATGAGCTGCGGGTGGGGCTGTATGTGTGGTTTAGATGCGTAGCCGTGCCGATCGCCCGCCAGATCCGCGCGTGGCCGGAGGCATAATTCTGTCTGTCTCTCTGTCCGTCTGTCTGTCTGTTTCTTCTTTGATGCTTGCATCTTTCTTCAGGCACACGTTCTCTCATCCGATCCATGGACGAGCAGAGGGCGGCATAACCGCTGTCTGCATTTTATATCTCGTGGTCCGTGTCTTACTACGACTGCCACCGCCAGCACCGAAGGGCAGCTTCGAGCTTTACCGTCTCGTCCTTCGGGACTATTGATGCGCCTGCCGGCAGCCGTCCGCTACCGTTCCCAGTCGGCGAGCTTGTTTTCAGGACCCGTGGAGACGTCAGCAACACTTATCAAGCCACTGCTTCGATGTTGTGCCCTGAGGGTGAGAGATGCGTGAGCGGACACAGAGATAGGAAAACAAGAGACCAAACAGGACACACATGTATAGATACACACAAGCCACACGCATCCAGACCCTCGTACGTGTCTGTGTGCAGGCTGCTGCAACTACGGCGATGCAGATGTTCATGATCAGACTGTGAAGGCTCACTAACTGCATCTATATGGTGTGCGGCCCTGCCTGTGTGAAGGGGGCTGGCGTATAGGAACTGCAAGCAGCGGTGTGGTTTGTTTAGTGCTCTCGGTATGGGTGGAACGGCGGACGGGACAGACAGCAAATGTGTGTGTACATATGTAAGACTCTCTCTCTCTGCGTCTGTGTGAGAATATGTGTGTGGTGAAAGGCGGCACCGCTGCCCAATAAATTTGAATGCCTGGACAAATGGATGGATGGATGGATGGCACGAACCAATCTGGTCATCGTCACGAATTAAGTAGGTCACCACACACAGATACCTACACACACACACGTGTTTGTCCACCCTCCACGCATCGTCTGTCCGCACAAGCCAGCTGCATCTGCCGCACACGAGTAGCTACCACCCGCCCCAACCAGACTCACGTTTCTGAGTCGAACGGCACACAGATCGGTGATGCTGGCGCGGGTGGTGCAGCTGGGCCTGGTCTCACCTGATTGGCAGCTGGACACGTCAGGCGCAGCGCTCGACGAACAGGGTGTAATTGTCGAAGCTGAGCTTATATGGCCCCCCATTGAGGTTGACGGCGGCCTGCTGTGCCAGGAAACGCTGCATAAACTCCAAGTGCGACTCTGTAAAGAAGACCTCAGTCCTCTCGTGGCCCTGTCGATCAGCCATTCCGATGAGAGGCGCACACACATTGCCCAGCGACCGCCTGTGGTCTGTCTGTCGGTGTGCTGCTTGTCTGTGCTGTGTGGCGCACCTTGAGTTTATGATTGAATGATGTAACTGTGGCCATCACGCCGTTGTAGAATTCGTCCAGCTCGTCATCCGGCACACCGCCTGAAATGCATGATGAGCAGACACAGCCACCATGCAGTCTCCACTCGTGCTCAGTCCCATTTCCCTTACCTTCGACGGTGATCCCCACTTTATCGATCGGCGGCAACTGACCGATGCCCCGATCCCACAGACAGGGGGTCGCGGAAGCATCCGTCGGGGAGGCTGTGAATGCCGCTGCCGACAGCACGAGGCTCACCGACAGGTGCCTCTCCCGCCCCTTCTTGACCAGCGCCGCCTGCAGCCGCGCGAGGAACTGCCACACCTCACCAGCAGGTGCACTCAGCTCCACCTCGTGCTCATCTCCTGCCTGGACGCACTACAGGCTGGGCATGTTGGAGGCGATCTCGAGGGCCCGCTTCTTGTTGGCCCCATTGGCGAGGGCATCACCCATTAGCTTCAGGGTGTGGGCGGCGGGGAATGTGTCGTCACTGATGGCCGCAGGGACGGCCTCGTCAAGACCGCTGTACACCACGGTGCCGGCTCTTTTGGCGAAGTCGCGAATGAGCTTCTGGGCGGCGGCGGGGCCGGTGCTGCTGCGCGAGAGGAGCTCCGCGTCGATCTGGCCGCACGTGCCGTCGTCAGTGAGTGCGAAGACGCCCTTTTTCCACTGCCTCGGGATGAGCAACGGCGTCACTGATCGAAGGCAAAGCACAGACATGAATTGCTCTCTCTCTCTCTCTCTCTGTGTCCCTCTCTCTGTTGTGTCCTTACATGAGCTGCGCAACGCTCTGGCACCGCTCCACAGGCTCGTCACTGCCCATCCACCTCATGTCGATCTCGAGCTCCCGAATGGACCGGCTGACGCCCCTCGCCACCATCACCTCACGCAGCTCGTCGATCTCGGCGGGGATGCTTCCATATATCCGGACGCCTCGCAGTGTGCGAAGCGCCGCCAACGACTTCCCGTCGGCGGGCAGCCCACTCAGCATATCTTCCGTCGCGTCGGCCCTCCATCCGTCGACTGAGGTGAGCTCTTCGATGGCCTCACAGTTGGCCACCCATGCCCTCCCGCCCTCCACTGACGGCAACCATACCGTGGTGAAGGACTTGACAGCGGGCGTCCGCCACGGGCGGCCGACGCGAGAAGCCAGGGGAAAGGTGGATATGTTGTTGACCATCTTGAGTGCCGGCAGGTGGATTGGGGCGGTGGGGGCGGGGGGCAGAGCCCATGAGGAGGGAGGGAACAGGGAGATGTCAACGCTGTCGTCGTACTCGCCCTTCTCGAATGACAGCACCTCCAATGTGCCCTCGTCAGCCATGTGGCGGTCCCCATTCTTATGCGCCGCCGCAGCAATAGCTGTCCCCTCCCCTCCCTCCCTCTCCCGTCGTTTCTTGGCTGCGATGGCCGCCCGGCCGATGGCGTGACCCGTGACCCCTCCACTAATGCCACCCAGGTCCCGTTGCACCATAGATCTGGACGACTGGGATACCGGTGCCTGATCTCTCGGACGTTGGTCGCCCTCTGCCCCCACTTCTGCGCCACGCCGAGGGGCATGGTCTCCCACATGCGCCGCGCCGTGTCGTCCTCACAGTCGATGACCAGTTTGGTGTAGTTGGCGGCCGACTGATGGAAGAGGGGCGTGCCGAGACGCCGGCGGTGGCGCGTCAGCTCCCATGGCTGCAGGTGGCCGAACACGTTGGCCAACTCGTCACGGGACAGCCGACGACGGGCCTGAAGTGACAATCAACATGACATCAAAGTAAGGTCAAGATGGTTTAGATGTATCAGGTCTGTCCTGGTGTCGGTCTGACCGGTCTTTGGTGGTTGACAGGGGGAGGTTTTTTGGTTTTGCCGCTTTGATGGATCAGACGATACGATGGCCGCCGTGCCTGTGAGCAACACATGGGAGGGCATGGACACAATGCTTCCTCCCCTCTCCTTATGTGCACTGTGATGTTTACCTGTGACTGTTCATCGGTCCCTTCAGCTGCCAAGCTAATGACTGGTGGTGCCGTGGCTGTGGCCGCCAGCGCACCAACCGCATCCGAGAGGCCCGACTCAGCAGATGACAGCTGAGTGACGGCGCTGTTGACATGGGCGGCGGCGAGGGACAGCTGCACGTGCACCTGCAGCGACTCAGGTGACGACGCCTACGACAAGCAGGCAGCAGAGGGAGCAGCAGACACCATCTAGTGAAGTGCCTCGACCTGCTGCCTAGTGCAGGGTGTGGGTGTGTACCTCGAGAGGGTGATTGGCAGGGTCCAGCTGGTTGATCTGCGATAGATGAGCACCAACCTGATGCACACAGCGGGAAAGAAAGGGTGGCAAGGAAAGACACATGTGTGACGTCGAGTCTGTCAGGTGCGTCAGTCACATCACATCACATCACACCAGACCTGTGAGTGGAGCTGCAGCAGCTTCTCGAGGCTCTCCTCCACACCCGCCGACTGCTCCTTCAACTGAACACAACACACAACACAACATGACTCGCCTGTCTGCCAATGGGAGATGCAGGCTTCTCCTGCCCGTCAGGCCGCCACTCACCTGAGCTACGTTCATGGCGCCGGTCTTCTGTCGCTATGCACAATTGGCAACGAACCGCAGCAGAGAGGCCTGCAACCATCACAAAACACATGAGCACAGTGGTCAAAAGCATGGCAAAGGCGGCCTTCTCTGTCTGCATTCTCTCTGCTGTGCTCGTCTGTCATCCCCTGCCCTGCCTTGTGAGCCCTTGTGAGCCCTCCCGCGCCACGCCTCTCACCTGATTGACGTCTATGGCAAATCTCTCCAGTTGAGCTATTGGAGCTGGCAATGGAAAACCAGCACAAAGCTATCAAACAGCAAAGCGGCAGCAACCACACCCCTGCAATGAGTCGACCGAAACTCGTCGGCTCGCAATTGGGTTAGGTGCTCCCTGAAACCGCTGCTGGTTGTTGGTGGCTCAGCGAGCTTTGTCGCCCGACGACGTACGGACAGCGGGCCTGCGAGTGGAAGAGCTTCAAGGCCAGAATAATCCGAGATCTGAACTCATGAACTCGTTGCCATGAAGCTTCCTGCACATGCTGACACACGTGTGAAGGGAGGCAGGTACGTACGGGCATGCGCAGAAAGACTCATCGACTCTCAACTCCCGTGCATCTGTTGATTCCAGATCAGGACTTAGCTGACTGGCCGACTCTGCATGGGCTGCGGATGCCATCAGATTGCCCTCATCGCCCTCTACTACTCGGCTTTTGCTGCTCTCAGCCGCCAGCCGGTCCATCTCGAGGCATTCATGACGCCAACGGCACTGCAACAGTCACTGGACAGCAGACGGCATCTGCTTCGCACAGGAAGAAGTCGCGGCGGCGACTCATTGTCGAGGCTGCAAGGGGCTCTCCCTGAGGCCTATGTGGAGTATGTGAGCGGCCTGCTGCCTGCCAATAAAACGGATGCCTTCATTAAGTCATGTGGGACGAGGCTGCGGCCGAGCATTCGTGTCAACACCCTGAAGGGCAGCGTTGGAGAGTTCATCAGCAGGCACAGGAGAGGGGATGCTCGCAATGCAGAGTGGGACTTCAAGCCGATCCCCTGGTGCCCGGAAGGTACGGAAAAGGCACACAGCGCTTTGCCAGGAAGATGCATCAGGCGTACTCGTCGTTGGCTGTCTGTCAGGTCTGTGGATCTCGCCCTCTTCCAACGGCAGCGACCTCTCAGATCTGCAGCTGGGCAGTCGTCTGGAACATTTGGCTGGTCTCTACTACGTGCAGGAGGCCTCATCGATGCTGCCCGTCACAGCACTGCTCGATGGCGGCGATCTCGACACAAGAGATAGTGACCTCAAGATCCTGGACATGGCTGCCGCGCCCGGTTCGAAGACCACGCAGCTCGCCGCCCGGCTTGCGAATCGCGGCCTCGTGTGTGCCAACGAGCTGTCAGCGTCCCGTCTAAAAGGGCTCTTCTCCAATGTGCAGCGGACGGGCACCACCAACACCATCCTCACACAAGCGGATGGGCGCGACTTCCCCCACCATGAGGGCTCTGCCGCTTTGTTCGATGCCGTGTTGTTGGACGCTCCCTGCTCCGGCGAAGGGACGGTCCGGAAGAATCCCAAAGAGGAGCTGCCGTCGTGGAGCTTGCGTTCGGTGCTGCGGCTGCAGAGCCTGCAAAAGGGGCTGATCGACGCTGCCATGGGGATGCTCAGGGAGGGGGGCGTGCTAGTGTACTCCACATGCACACTCAACCACTACGAGAATGAGGAGGTGGTGAGGTGGCTACTTGAGGAGAGCGGGCATGTCGGTCGAGTGGAGGTGGTTCGTCTGGATGGCCTGTGCGGCGGGTCGCTGCGTCGCAGCGCCACTGATGAGGGCTTTCTCCACGTGTGGCCGCATCACTTCGACTGCGAGGGCTTCTTCGTCGCCAAGTTGCGCAAGAAGGCTGGTGGCCACTCTGCCTTTGCTGCTGCCGCCCCGCTCTCTCTTGTCGGCTCTCTAACTGCTCAACAAGTCGCCCGTGAGAGCCTCTCTGCGCCAGCAGCAGCCACAGCATTGAGAGACAGAGAGCCCCGGCGCCGCACACAGCGAATGGTGCGAAGCGAGCTGTCATCACCGCCTTCGTTCCATCGATGGCTCGATCGCTTCGAGCCGCCGTCGACAGAAGAGGCTCGGCAACTGCACTCCTTCTTCACGTCGAGATACGGCTTTGGCAAAGTGGCAGAGTGGCATGAGGAGGGCCGGCTGCGCATCCGTCGAGCTCGGACACGAGAGGGCCGTCAGCAGGGGGCGAAGAGGGGGAATGGCGGCGCTCAGCAGCAGCCCAGGGTGGATGAGTGGTGGCTGCTGCCCACGGGGGCCGCATCGTTCCTCAACAGCATCGGTGGGGCTTCCCGCGTCAAGGTCTCTCGTGTGGGCGTCAAGATCGCTGAGCGGCCAATTGCTGCGGTGAAAAGGCGGAAAGAGGGCGTGGCTGACGGCGGAGTGCGGCCGACACATGAGATGGTGATGGCTTTCGGAGGTGAGTTCAGTGGGGGTGCTGTTGACGTGTCCGACGAAGAGGCGCGGCTGTTCTGCAGAGGCCATGACTTGCCGCTGACACATGGGGACTCGGGGGCGTGTCTGACTGATCGGTGTGACATTGTGGTGCGGTGGGCCGGCCTGCCACTGGGTGTGGGGCGCGTGCAGATGGAGAGAGGACGGCTGAAGAACATGCTGCCCAGAGATGTGGTCAGGGATACTGTCGTATAGCGTGCCCTGCTTGTGTGACGGGGGTTGGTGTATAGGATGGATGGACGTGTGTGTGCATTGGTATGTAATGGACATCTCATCTGGCGGATCAGATCTTGTTTGAACGACAGATGCACTCAATCTGTCCTCGTGAGGCGTTGGCATGCAGTCGTCTTGTTCGCTATAAAAAGCCCCCTCACCGTACACTTTTCTCACAGTCATGCACGCCCCGCCACCCCTGTCTCCCAATCCATCCATCCATCCATTCAACACCGTACACCAAATGATTCATCTCTCTGCGAGTCGATCGCTTAGACACACATACATGAGATAAGGGCCTCGTATCATCTGCTCTCTGCCCATTTCTCGGCCCTCTCCCCCTCCCAGCCTGCTGTCTGTCTGTCTGTCTGTCTGTGAGTGTGTGTGTGTGGAAGGACCGCGAGAAAAATGGGGTGGACTCGTTCGTTCGTTGTGGACGGTTGGCTGATGCATGTCATGTCATGGCCGTGTGTTTGGGCGGTCGGTGTAAAAATCAGGAAAGGCATTGACCGACCCGACCCTTAAAAGCAATTCCCAATCGCACGTGTGTCGTACGCAGCAGGAAGCAGCACGACAGGAAGGAACACGGAGAGCCAGGGGACAGAGATAGCGAGGCAAGGCAAGACTCGAGCATCTCATTCATTGTGGCGTGTTCGTCCGAAGACACACAAAACCTTCGTGCGCCCAGAAGCTACACGAGTCAGTGAGTGAGTGGGTGTGTGGGGGGTGGGGGACGGGACAGCGCAGAAGAAGAAGAAAACTGTATGCAAAATGGAATTCGGCCAGCCAGGCTGGTGTCAAAAAACCGGACTATCGACCCTCAATGGTATCGTTGGAGCGATATGGGCCAACCAACACCTGACATCCCACACACACCCAAATCAATGAGAGTCCGACCCGACCGATCCGATATGCAGCAAGTGACATCCCACTTACCGATAGCGCTATGCATTTTACTTGTGTGTCATTATGACCTCCACGGTGCGGGGGACGGCGGCCTGCCGCTGCCCCTCTCCCGCTCCCTCTCCCAGTGCATCTGACGCTCACGCATCAAAGACGCCACCCTGACCGATCCATCACACCAAAACATCCCAAACAACCATACCGACACCTGCACAGGGGTGTCGCAGTGGTTGTCTCACTGCTTCACGTACCGTTCCTGCATGGTCATCTCCTCGTCCGACTCCTCAAACCACTGGTCGTCCACCGATCCGATCTCGCCGTCATGCAAACCACCCGCTACGCCGTCAACACCAGTGACCGTCGCTGTCGTGGTTGATCCCCCAGAGGGGTGGTCGCCCAGGTCACTGGTGGACGACATGGCGCCGCTGCCCAAGCCCACCGAGCCCCAGCGGCCAGAGGACGACCGCATCCTGCCTTTGCTGCGGTGGCTGTGGCTGTGGCTGTGTGTGTGCTGGACATGTGGCGGTCGGAGCAGACCTCCCACCGGGGCGCCGCCCTCACGAGGGCCAAGCGCGAATCCTCCAGCCGTCCTCTCGCTGCCCATCGATGCCACGAGGGGGGCATCCTGGAAGGCGAAAGGCGCGTGTGAAGGAAAGGTCGACGGCAGCTTGCTCCTGGCCGCCTTGGCCTGGGGCCGGCTGCGGATGAGTGGGGAGTTGGGGGGGCTGTTGTGGTTCGCCTTGGGGCTGCTCTCCTCGGCTGTCATGGCCTTCCGCGTCGTGGTCATCCAGCCTGGCGAGTCCTGAGCACTCGTGGATGACCGAGGGGCAGCGGCCTCACCACCACACGCATACCTCAAGCGCGAAAGCTCCTCAGACAGCGGCCTAGCGATCTGGTGCTGGGGCATGTGCTGTTGCCGTTGCTGGGCAGGTGGACTTCCGAACCGCCCGAGGGAGCCGCGATGCGCCGAGTGGGGTGAGAATACGGGAGAGGTCTTGGACGACGTCCAGGAGTGGGGCGACGCCCCTCCACCCTTGGAGGCTGACCCCGAGCCGTCGGTGTTGCTGTGGCTGTCTGCCGGGAGTGGATCTGTGTGCCCGCCGATGAACGACGCCAGCAGTGAGTCACGCAACGACCTGGGGGAGATCTGGTCGATGACGAGAGAGCTGCGTGAGCAGACGGGAAGGGGCAGAGACGACGGGGGCTCAGTGGATCGGCGGGAGAGCTCCGGCATAGCCAGGTCAGTGGAGGGACGCTGCACCGCCCGGGCGTCTTCATCCTGTGTGCCAGTGGCGGCTGCTGCTGCTGCTGCTGCCTGGGTCACAGGCATCGCCGCCCCGACCACCTGCTCCTCCCTCACTCGAACACCCTTGCTCCTGTCATACGCGACGGCCTCCCTCTCCTCGTGCACCGACAGGTGGATCTGCGTGTTGTTGCTGAAGCTCGTCCGCACACTCACTACCGACTCGCCAAGCGGCCCGGGAGACGACGGCAGCTCGGCCTCGTCAGTGGGCTGCCGGTCGTTGTCGTTGCCTCCGCGAGGCACCGAAGGCGCTGGCGATGAGGCAGCCGACGCGTCGAGAGGTTCGAGTGTGAGTGGCGGTGGGGCGTCGATGGAGGGGTCTGAGGATGAGACGGGGAGGGGGTGGCTGGGCGTCTCGGTGGGGGGCGCACGGGATGCTGAGGCCGATGACGAGTGGCTTGAGTTGCGGAGATCTCTTTCTCGGCGTCGCTCCTGCTCCTCAGACCTCAGCTGGCTCACGTACTCCTGGATGGACAGAGAAATCACACGTCGGATGATGTGCTGTGTCGGCCTTATTCTGGCCTTATTCTCACATTCGGTCTGACCTCTGTGAGTCGCTGTTTGTCCTGCCCCTCAGCCTCATGGAGGAAGAAGTCTGCCTTGCGGAGGATACTGCGGCCGTCGTCCAGGGCTGCCAGCTGCACTTGACGCGTCATGAAGCTCTGAATCGCACGGGTGCTCGCCTCTGTCACATTTCCAACACACACATACACACAGATGGTTGACGCGTCAATTCAATGCAGTGTTGCTTTCCCTCTCCCTCCCTCCCTGACTCCCTGACCAGGGTGTTGCAGCTCCTCTGGCGGCACCATGAAGGTGCAAGCATGCACCTCCAGGAGAGCGAGCAGCACTGCAAACACTGCACGGGGCCCCTCCACCACGAGCAGGTCCCACACGCGCACCACCGCCTTGAGCGGCAGCGTCTTGGCAAACAGACACAACAACGGATCAACTGCCAGCTGCACACACACACAGAGAGAGAGAGAGACGGGCAGAAAGCAGCAGGGAGGAGTTGATCACACGAGGCGAGGGCTGGTCGGTTGTGTGTGGCGGCTAGTTTCTGTATCGCTTTCTTTCTGACCCATAGGAGTGGCAACGAGAGTCGTCTCAGCTGCTGCTCGACGGCGGGCAGGAACTCAGTCACGATGCGCTCACCAACCTCCACGTCAACCAGAAAACCCTCCAAACGGTCTGCAGTGGGGCAGGCAAACCACACACTCATAAACACGCCTTTGTGTGCGTGTGTGTGTGTCTATGTGTATCTTTCGCTGCGTACGAGCATGGTAGTTTTTGCAGTATCGTTCCAGCAGTGCAGCGAGCGCCCAGAAGGCGGTCTCCTCGTCAAAGCCAACCACCAGGAGGACGGCTACCAACAGGTTCATCGACTGACAGTACCTGCACAAAGGAAACAAGGGATAAGACATGACAAGGGGTGCGGCTGTCCCGGCCTGTTTGTGGTGAATAGGTGGCTGGCTGACTGACCCGATGTCTTCGTTGTGGAATGCGTATGCAATCAGCACGTTGCGCAGCGCTGTGCGATGCTCCGTGTCCAAGAAATTAGGCATCGTCCTCTCAACGTCCTACAGGCGGCGCGCAGACGCCCAGTCATCGCTTGGTGTGTGTGTGCAGAGCGGTCTGGGCTGTGGCGTGCTGCGCCCACCAGGTCGACTTGTCTCATGGAGTCGGTCTCGCCGTCGGAGGTCCTGGCGAGCAGGCCGGCGAAGTACTGCGATCTAAAGGTGGAGCGGAGCTCACTCAGACCCAACAGGTGACTCCACAGCTGCACACACATACACACACACACACCACACACACAGAGATAGAGATACATGTGTGTGTTTCGTCAATGGTGTGAGTGTGTGTGTGTGTTTGTATACCTTGACGCGGAACTGCGCCGGGACGCCCTCATGCACGAGTGTCCTGAGCTCATCGGCACTCATCGACGACACATCCAGCCGATTCTGAAGAGCATGGTACCTGCAGCCACACCACACACACCACACAGGATGTGAAACAGACACACAGCTACCCTGGCACTCGTGTGCTATCTGTCGTCCTGACTGACCATAGCTGCAGCACTTCCTTCCTTGAGGCACCGGGGGCCGCCGAAGCGCTGCTAGCCGCTGCCTCGCCAAACGGCCCCACGCTCCACTCTGGCGACGCTGCACCATTGCTGCCACTGCTGCCATTGGCCGATGCCGCCGCCCCCAACTCTTGCTGCTTCCTCTCCGCCAGGAGGTCCCCCATGTCGGGCAGCACACAGTAGTCGTCCTGGCTGGCAGTGGGGGTGGTGGTGGTGGGCAGTGCTGGTGCAGGGATGGCCGTGGGCGCCACGTACAAAGCCGAGTGCTCGTCGAAGAGCAGTCGGAATATGTCCTCGCGGCTGACGTCGATGTCCGGCACGTTGGAGCGCAGGACGTCGCCCTCGGTCTTGAGGAAGCTCCCGCCCATGCCCCCTCCTCTCCTCAGCCCCCTGTGTATCGACCGCGACCGCAGCCGCCGGGCCCGCCCCGCCACTCGCTGCCGTGCCTGCTGCCCAATGCTCGCCAGCCCACCACGGAGCGACCGCAGGCCATCTGCCAGCCGTGAGGTGCGCGTCTCGCCGCTCGTGTCACGCGGGGACGGTCCGGCGGTATCTTCCGGCCGCTGCTGGCGACTTGCGAATCGGTTGCGGACCATACGGATGGCGGATGAAGGGATGCTGCGGAGCGGGGGAAGGGAGAGCCGCATCGAGGGAGAGGTGGCTGCTGGCGGGGAGGGGGTGCCGCCATCGGCCTCATCCGACTCGTCTGTCCCCGTGCTGCGCGGCCGGCGCTGCGTCACCTCGCCCACCGCGCGTGACGAGCGGAAGGCGGCCGCGGCAGCGGCAGCATTAGTGGCTGTCTGCTGGGTGGCGTCGCTGTCGTGCATGGGCTTCTGCGGCGAGTCCACAGGGGAGGACCCGGAGAGAGACTGCACTCGGTCTGTGGTGCGCTGGCTGACGAAAGCCGTCTGTGCTGTGTTGCTGGCGCTGTGGGCGCTCGACAGCGGCACGGGAATGGGCTCGAAGGCGGCAGCCGGCGTCACGTTGGCATCCTTGTCGACGTCATGCCATTCGCTCGCGACGGGCTGGGTAGTCTCATCCCGGTTTGCTTCCCGAGCCTCTCGCGGCGACTGGGATGACTCGGGGGTGTCGCTGCCGTAGCGCCTCTCCCAGTCCTGCGTCAGGCAGAGGGTGTCGATGCCCAAATGGGAGAGGCTGACGAGCGTCGCCGTGTTAGACGAGCCCGGTCGTCGATGTGGGCCTCCCGCGGACGGCCTGCCGCCCGTCGTCGAGTTGTTGTTGCCCATTTATCCTCAGGGAGCCATCGAGGTGATGGAGGGCAATTTGCTGGAGGGACACTCGACAACGTGAAGAGAGCGGCTCCGAAACGAGAGGGGAGTGCAGCTGGTCTCCTCCTCTCCTTTTCTGCTCTTCCCCTTGGGTTGCGTGCGAGCTTTTAGCGTTAGGACCGGATGTAAAACTGATGGCGCGGTTGGTTCCCGAAAAAGCCCCTAGACGGCCCTGAGAGAGGTTTTCTGAATAAGCAGCATTCACAAGTCAGCGAAATGAAGGTTGGGAAGGTTGGTTCTGTCGGCGTGTGTCATCTCCTGACTGTCTTCCTGCTGGGGTGGCTGTTGCTGGCTGACCCGAGCGTCGGGGACGGCTCCTTCGGGGGGAATCGGAAGAACGCCAAGAACATGGACCACCTCTCGAGCGCTGAAGCCACCACCCTCTTCCTCAAGGCATGCACACACGAACAGCACACCTTCTCACGCTCCCCGTTTGATGTCTGTGCGTCGTCTGCTCGGGCGTGTGTCTGTGGTCAGGAGGGCGAGAAGCCCAGAGACAATGGTGAGCGTCCTAACTTGGTTCGAGAACACCTGTAGAGACATGACGTCTGTGGTGTCATGTCTCCCTTCAGATGACCCGGTGGGTGGCGGCCTTCTGACTCAACATCTGGAGGCTGATGTGGTGGTCGCCGGGGGAGGCAGCGCGGGGACGAGCGCAGCACTGGCGTCAGCGAGGAGCGGCGCCAAGACCATACTCATACAGGGAAGGTGCGTATGGACAGAGACACGCGCAGAGAAACATGCACAATCATGGCGACATATCTTCTGTGTGTGCGCGTGGTTGGTGTGTAGAGGTGTGTTGGGTGGCAATGCGTCCTCGGAGTCGAAGCTTCACATGGTGGGAGCCGACCGGCACGGCGACCGCGGCATCTACCGCAAGACGGAGACACGCGAGGGCGGCATCGTCGAGGAGTACACACTGAAGAATGCCGTCGACAATGGCCAGCGTTCCCACTCGATCTTCGACCTCATTCTGTACGACATGTTCCGCACCGAGCCCAACGTGCAGCTCATCCTCAACGCCTGGGTGGTCGCCGCCAACAAGACACCCGCCAAGGGAGACACACCCGGCACCGTCACCGAGATCATTGCCGAGAACCAGGAGAGCCAGGTGGGTGCGAACCAACATCCAATCACAACTGTCTGTCTAGTGCCTCATCTGTGGGCGTCTCCGGCTTTAACAGCTTCGGTACGTGATCAAAGGCAAGGTCTTCATTGACGCGACGGGCGACGGGCGGCTCGGCGCGGAGGCGGGGGTCCCCTACATCATCGGCCGTGAGTCGCAGAAGGAGTACAACGAGACGTTGGCTGAGCCCGAGCAGGACGCCGAGACCATGGGCAGCAGCCTGGCGTTTGTCGCCAGGAACCACTCACAGCCGATGAAGTTCGAGCCGCCCTCGTGGGCCATCCGCTACTCCGAGGAGGACTTCCGATACAGACCCATCAAGAGCGGCGACCTCATGGTTTGTATAAGGCGGCATCGCATCGCGTGTACGTGTATTGATTGCATTGCCTTTGTGGCCTGCGCAGTACGGTTACTGGTGGATCGAGGTCGCATGGCCCTTCCACACCATCAGACAGAACGAGGAGATCCGAGACACACTCATGGAAGTCGTCCTAGGTAGGTCTCCTGCCTGCCACACATCACATAGATAAGGGGCGGGGCACTCACGTGTGTGTCTGAATGGAATGGACCCCCTCGCTCACTAATTCAGGCACATGGGATTACATCAAGAACAGCGGCAACTTCCCCGAGGCCGAGAACCTCGCACTCGAGTGGCTCGAGTGGTGGCCCTGCAAGCGAGAAGGTGAGTCAACGGGAAGAGACACAACACCAGGAGACACGTACGCACGCCGAGTGGCCTTCCTGCACAGGCCGCCGCTTCCGTGGTCAATACATCATGACGCAGAACGACCTGCTGCCTGGTACACACACAGCCGAGAGACACCAAGACACACACAATGGTTGATCGTATGTGCGTGTCCGTCTGTGCCATCAGACCCCTTTGTTGAGGAGGAGAACGCCCACGCGCCGACCTTTTTCTGGGACCGTGTCAGCCACGCCGGATGGAACCTCGACCTGCACGCCGTCAAGGGCGTGCTGGACACGGCCGTTCCCGCATACGCCTCATACTACATCCCCTACGTATACAGGCAAGTCAGCACACGCACACAAAGCCGCTGAGGTGCTCTCCATTTCCCTCGATATTTCTTGGCTCTGCAGCACCCCTCTCCGTTCGCTCGTGGCCCTGAACACCACCAATGTGATGCTGGCCGGCCGTCTGGCATCGTTTTCCCACGTGGTGTTTGGCAGCCAGCGGGTCATGAAGACCTGCGCGGCCATGGGCCAGGCGACAGGCACGGCCGCGGCCTACTGCGCCCTCCATGACATCGAGCCGTGGGAAATTGCCAACCATCCTGGTAGAACGATGGACGAGTAGAGGGGCTGGCTCGACATTGTGTGGGCATGAGCATCGTGTTCGTATGCCTTGGTGTTGTCAGACGCTGTGTGGAGCATTCAGCAGCAGCTTCTGCGTGACGACCAGTACATCATCGGCATGTACAACCAAGACCCAAGGGTGCGGTGCGATGACAACACACATCACATGACATATGGGCGTGGTGTGCATGAGTGCCGCTGTGTGTCTGCTTGTTCCTTGTCAGGACTATGCGCGTGCTGCTCGCATCACAGCTTCATCAGAGCACAGCAACGCCACAGCCAAAGAGGTATACGCGATGCACCACCGTTCTGATCACCACTCTCATCGCATTCGTGTATTGGTGTCTCTGCGTGCAGGTGATATCTGGCCAGACCCGTGCAGTTGACGGCCGCAGCGGTGCGGCCCCCGAGCAGCGCATCGACGGCACCAACCGGTGGATATCAGAGACGGTGCCCGCCTGGCTCAAATTCGAGTGGGAACACCCCATCCAAGACCTCGCACTCGTAACCACTACTATATCAAAACACCCACATCCCTGGCCGTCCCTCCATGTCCCTCCTTGCCTCCGTCTGCAGGTTGAGCTAGTGTTTGACACGGGCATGCACCGCGAGCTGACCCTCACACTCAAGCGCTCCATGTGGAACCGCATCGTGTGGGGCCGCCCGCAGCCAGAGACCGTCAAGGACTACGACATCCAGGTGCAGCTGGCAGGCGACGGCAAAGACATGTGGTGCAGCGTGGCCTACATCCGGGGCAACTACCTGCGCAAGCGGGTGCACGACATCAGCCACGCCGTGGCCAAGCTCGACAACAAGGGCGAGGGCGTCAAGGCCATCCGTGTGTTCATCAAGGCCACCAACGGGGTGGGGGAGGCCCAGGTGTTTGAGGTGCGGGTGTACGACAAGTACGGCGTGGACAAGTTCCCCAAGAAGCCCAACGGCGACACCCAACACGGCGACAAGCCCAAAGGAGCCAAGCGCCGCAGCCTCAAGGGCTCATCTTCTTCTGACATATTTGTGTGAGAAAATGCAGTAAGGGAGAGGGAGTAGGGAGGGAGACACTGACGGGTGTATTCTTAGCGCCTGGTTTTCTGCTGGGCACTCTGTGCTGTATATATAGATAGGAAGCGTCCCCCCCCCCTTCCCTCTCTCCTCCTTTTCCCCAGAGTTCGTTTGTTCAAGAAAGTGTGCGTTTGCATGGGGTAAGGGCAAATTTTTCTGGGTGGCCGTGCCCGCGTCCACCCGCAACAATGACCATGACCTGTTCTGCCTGCCTCTCTCTCTCTTTCTCTCTGCATGTCTCTTTGTTGTATTGCTCATGTTTTCACCTTATACAACTTTCTCGTACCACTTTCTTCTGTACGCATAGCTACCTACCTACCTTCCAACATATACCGTCCACTACATTACATTACATAGCATTTCATCGCATTTCATTATTCCATTTCGTGAAGCACACTGCCATTTCATCGCTTGAACACGAAGCACGTGTACACATGTGCACTGCCCTGTCAATGTGGTTCTCTCGCCGCCCTGCATGTCCATGCGGGGTGGCGGCGCGGCCGGCAGGGGGACCTGCCTGTCTGCGTCAGTAGTGTTTGTGGCATGTCGATGTATGAGTGGCCACGCGCACCGGTGGATAGCTCGACAACGAGATTTTCTTGAAGGGTCAGTCAGTGGGAGGGAGGGAAGGGTCTAGTGGACTGTCAAGGCTGGGGAACTTTCTTTCACGGTCATCAATGAAGGGACAAATCTCACAGGACTTCAAAGCGACTCAAGTAAACCACAAAAGTTCGTCAATTTGTGTCACGCCCCCAGCCGGGCCCCCCATTGACACCGAAGATCATCATGTTGTATGGAATAGCTAATGCGCCGGTAGCGAAGATGAGTGCGTCAGGTCCGTCCGAGGCGGATAGCCCCGAGGCGGACGCCGCCATCGGTGAGGCCCTGACCAAAATCTACCAAAGGCAGAAGGAGGAGGGCACGGTGACGGGCCCTATCATCGTCGCAGACGGGCAGGGCGGCATCACGCACACCGACACGCAAAGCACCGAATGCATCTACCTCCCAAGGGTGGGCATCCAGTGGCAATGCCATGCATTGAGGCCAGTGCGCTTGGAATCACGCCTCTCTGTTGTGTTGTTGCTGGTGCAGGACCTGTTGCTGCTCAACATCAAGCGGCTGGTGCAGACGACGCTCGATGATCCATCCAGACACCTGTAGGCAAAGAGAGACACCTGACGTTTCCCTCTTTCCATCTCTCTCTTGGAATGTGTGAGTGCGTGTGTGCGTGTGTGCGTGTCAGGTATATGTTGCTGTTTATGGAGGGCCTGAAGGCGGCGAGGCAGGACGAGTCCAAACCCACACTCTTCCAGCGATACCTATTCAGCCTCGGTACGTACGCACGGCCTCACACATGTACAGCGCACACAGCCTTTGTGTGCCATTTGTGTGTGCGGGTTGGTTTGTGTGCAGAGGAGTGCATGTGTTGGATGGCTGACCTCGACTACGGCGCTGAGAAGGAGTCGGCGAGGTGTCTCGTGACCGACAGCATGATACAGAGCGACGCACTGCGGCTCATCTATTACGCATTCCTGGACGACAGTAGGCTTGCACAACACAAACAGACACACAAATGGATGGAAGCGGAAGCACATGTGGTGCTGATTGTGGATGGACGCATGTCATGTCATGTGTGCAGCCGAGTCTGATCGTCAGGTGTCGTGCGCGCTGATCCTTCAGGCGCTGCAGCAGGTCAACTTCACATCGCTCACACGTAAGCAACAAACGTGGCACAGAGTTCTGGGCAGAATGGTCATACGGTGCCTTGTGCTGTGCCCAATCAGCGCACTTACTGCAGATTACAGGAGGTCGGGAGCAGTTCTATGCCGACATCTCCCGTGTAGCCATCAACGCCCGCACCAACACCGTCATGGTGCGGCCGCCGACCGACACAGCGCGCCTCCCGCCCCCATTCATTCATTTAGGACGACTGTGTGTCTGTGTGGGTCAGGTGAACCCATCGACAGGCGCCAATGTGCGGCGTGTGTGTGAGTTTGTGAATCGGGCGGCCTACACGCTGCTGACGGCCATCATGCTGGCGGAGGAGTCCATGGCCGACGGCACCGCTGCGGCCGTCTTCCACGAGGACATTCGCAACGAACTCGTTCAGCAAGGAGAAATGCTCTCACACGCTGAGGTGGCTGACATGGATGGATGGACGGATGGACGGATGGATGGATGGACGGATGCAGTCTCCGGTCCATGGCATGCATGGATGTCTCTTTGTGTGGACGGGCGTGTGTGTCAGAGGCTTCTGGGAGGTGTTGACGTGTCGCGCAACGCGGCCATGAACTTCTTGCGTGTGTTGCACGGCGAGAACATCCCGAACGTGAAGCCCCTGCCGATGGCCGCGGTCCTGCGGCTGACCAAGCCCCTCATCGACACCGTCCTCGACTTCACCGAGAAGAGGAAATCGACCGTAGAATGGCTGTACGCCCACGCACACATATGTCAAGACACACACGGGCGGGAGAGAGACAGACACATGGTGTGTGGTTGATGTGTGTCTGGACTGTTATCCAGGTCGTTCAGCCGCACGTTTGACGTTCACTCCTGGGCCGTGAGAACCATCGATGAAAACTTCAAAATAAGTAGGTTGCAGGGGGGCAGGAAAAGCTCACGGATGGATGGATGGATGGGTCAACTTATGCCGTGTCGCGTCTCTTGTCTTCTGTAGAGCCGTTGGATGAGTTTGTGGCCGAGTACACGGCAGCGCTGGAAGAGCACGTGTACCCCCATGTGGGCAGGCTGGCTGGCGTCCTCGCCTCAGACACGGCCGACGGCAACCTCAAGTGGTCCGCAACTATGCTCCAGGGCATCTGCCACTCATACCAACTCGACCGTGAGTAAAGGCCAGACCAGAAGAGACCAGCGGGAAAGCACACCCGTGTTGTGTCGGTGGGTGGTGTGTGCAGTGTGCACACGTCAGAAGGTGGAGACGCCAGGAGCAGCAGCTCGCGCTCGGCTGAAGCGCATGGCAGACAACAGCAAGGCTCTCAAGGCCTTAGCATCCTCACTCAAGGTAAATAGATGCAAAGACGCAGCAACACGCCCAGCCCACATCAAACCAAACGAGTGTCACCTCACCCGTGCATCTGCAGCTGCGAGGCCCCACAGGTCCGCCCTGGTTTCCCATCCACGGCGGAGCACTTGACGCCCTAGTTCCCAACTACACCACCCACCTGATCGCAGCATCCACCATACTCGTCATACGTACAAGGCAACACACCCACACACAATCCGTCCAGACGGTGAGCATGTCTGTCGTCGATGCAATGCAATGCAGACGGGCCAGATGCGGACCCGGCCATTCAGCAAGCGTTCCTGTCTGCCGTGCTGACCATCATACGGGACGGGCGGCTGGACGGCCTCACAGGTGAGCCTCAGGTGCACCTGCGGCTGCTGGAGATCATTCCCACACTCATCAAGGGCAACGAACGGGTAACATACACACATACACAAACACACACTGGATGCGGGATAGGGAGGAGGCTTTGGTGGTTGGTTCACTCACTCGGTTGTGGTGTCAGTATGCGGTTCGTGAGGGTGTAGTGGAGGTGCTATGCAACCTGCTACTGAAGCAGCACATACCCACAGATACGATATGCGACCTCCTCGACTCACTCGTCAGGTACGTGAAGGGGCGCCTGCACATGCCAAGGCACATGCCGACACGTCACGCATGGCGGTTCCAAGGCTGGTGGCCTTTGGTTATGTGTGTCCTGTTGCCCCAGCTACGGCAACCAGGTTTCTGAACAGCGCGGGGGCAACAACGCCGTCATCCGACAAATCCTACAGGTCCAGAAAGAAATGAAGGAGATCTCTCCCTCTCTGCGGGTGTGGTGTGTTGAAATGGAGTGCATGATTTTCTGCAGATGGGTGCGGTCAAGCGGATGCGTCAGCCGGGCAAGAGGGGCAAGGCAGGCGCGCAGCTCAACGCTCCAAAAAGGGTGAGCTCACCCCAGCCCACCACACGCATACCCCACCCCGTCAGGAACCATCATTCCCACTCGTGTGTGGTGTGCATGTTATGTCATGCAGGTGATGGATTTCTTTGCCAAGATCGAGGCAGAGGAGAACGACAGGACCGATCGCATCATTGAGAAGACAGGGCTGCTCGACAACCATCGCACCACCAGTGGCAACGGCGATAGCGCCGCAAGCCCCGCACGCAGTGACGACTCCGAACCGCCTGCCGCCAAGCGGAAGGGCGGCAAGGGCAAGGGCGGCAACGGGGGCGGGCCTCGCATCTCACCCCCACCTGCCGCTACTATGGTTACGGAGAAGACCCCATCAGTGGCGACTGAGTGAGAACGAGAGAATGCTCTGCTGACGGCTGATCGCCTTGACATATCATGATTCCATTGCAGGTGCCGTGGGAATGAGGAGGGAGCGGAGGATGCTGGCCGCACTCGGAAGCCTCCTGTGGACATTCCGCCTCAGTGCGCAATTTCGAGCAGCGAAATCATTCGTTTATCGGTCGTGTCTCCTGTGATTGATCTCAGGAAGGTGTCTCTGTTGGGTGTGGCGCCAGCTGATGGTCCCAAAGTAGATAGAGGGGTGCCCCCGCCCTCCCGTCCATACGCGGCAGCCACCATGCGGCGCGCGCAGTTCCCGCTGACAGCAGCAAAAGGGTGGGCCACATCAAAAACATGGGTGAGACCAACCATCGACTGCGTGGATACGTGCAGGGGTCCGGAGGGGTCTGATGGGGTGGAGCGTTTGAATGCGGCCCATCCTACTGGGGGTGATGGTGGTGCTGCGGGCGGTAGTATTGTCGAAGACAGGTACACACACGACAGAAATCCGCGATGTGCGTGAGTATATGGTGTCCATCTTGTGTGTATGTGCAGGGAGCTGCAGGATGAGAGTGACGTAGACGTGTTGAGGCAGCGACTTAGGGAGAAGGAGGCGGAAGCCCTCAGGTGGCGCACCCATCCACTCGCACACAGCACATGTGCTGCATAGATGTCTGTCTCTATCAATCCCTGTTGTCTGCCCAGGCTGGCTGCCAGACTGCAGGAGTTGAAGGAAGACAACCACGACGCATCGGCCTCCAAGTCAGATTAGCGAGCAATACAATACAATACATGGCACAACGACACCCGCACCTGCGGCTGCTTGTGTCGATGTTTGTATGCATGTAGGCTTGCGGCTGAGTTGTCGTGTCTGAGTACTGTGGACGAGGTGACGGTCTTTTCCCAGCGGCTCATCCAGCGCCAGATGGTGCTCTCGGAGAGCGTAGCGCGGCTGCAGAGCCTCGCCATTCAGACGCAGAGGCGACTGGCGGAGGTGCGCAACGCCCGCCAGTAGCAATAGCTACAATGCAGACTGAGGATCGAAAGGAGAGTTGCATCACGGAGGAAGGTGGGGCGTCCTGGCCTTTTGGCAAGCTGTTGGCGTGTAGTGAGACATGTATGTACATGATGCCATGGCTGAGAGACAGAGAAACACATTCCTTTGCTTTCTCAATTCAATTGACGAGCGTGAATTGAAAGCTTGACCAAGGTCGTCCATAAATGTACGTCTGTTCGTCTGCTTCATGCGCCCCCCCCCATGTCTCGTATACGCATCCACGGACGGAGGACAAACAACCAACGGATGTAAAATGTAGGCAGCGATGCTGCACGGGCGCACCCCTTCGTATCATATATCCACCACTGTCTTGGCACCCTCTCCCGTTACCGGTAACGCCGATCGATTACAAAAAGTCGACAGACGGGATGGGCCGCTACGCCGCTTTCCAAACAGGATGGGCCGCTACTCAAACAGGATGGGCCGCTACGCCGCTTCTCAAACAACACGAATGGGATCTCTTAGGCATACGGTAGGGATCTGTCCGCTAAGGACGTGTTCGGCCCACACACACTGCGATGGTATCCCTCCTGTCTACGGCTCCTCCTCCTCGTTGTCGCCGTCGCCCTCTTCCTGCTCGGCCGCTGCTGCAGGTGCTCACACGCCTCTGGGGCGCGGGTCGGCCCGTGGGCACTTATGGCCAGCAGCTCCTTGTCGGTAAGCTGTGAGGGCGGCTTGGCGGTCGGCGCCACAGCGGCGGGGATTCCCTTGTTATACTCTGTGACCGTGATATCCCTAGGCACGCCCACTCCTGCAGGCATGTGTCACACACAGCGAGAGACACAAAAGTAGAGAGAAATGCGAGTTTGTGAGTCAGCTGCTGACTGATATGCATACCCAGGCGACTGAGATCCTGTGTGAGGCGTTCGTACAGCTCCACGCTGAGGTACTCAGTCCAGTAGGCCTCGCTGATCGGAACGAACGGCCGCACCACCTGTGTGCATCCGCGACACACAGCAGCGACAATGTTGCATACGTGTCTGTCGGCCTCCACAGCCAGCTGCTGGCTTGGCGTGTTACCTGTTCTCCCTTGTCGTTCGTTCCCGCCAGCACCGGCTGTGCCAGGAGAGAGTTGATCTCATCCATCAGCAGCTCCGGCAGCTGGCGGGGGAACGGACCTCGGCAGCTGGTGCGGATGTGCTCCACCACCTGACACACACACCACAAAGGACAGCGTCCATCTATGCCCGTGGGCGAATGTGAGTTTCTCGTGGCACTCACTCACCTGGTGTAGGTCGTTGTCGCATGACTGCACGATGCCCATGGCCTTCTGCCAGCTCGTAAAGAACTGCGGCACCGATTGGCCCCCGCTAATCGTGGCCGACACGAGGAACCCAACTGATGGATGGATGAGACACAGCCAGCAGACGGACAGAGACACCACGCACACAATGTCATAGGTGGACGACTGAGTGGATGCGTCCACGACAAATCAATCACGTGTGCCTTGGATCCTTACACAGGGAGAGGGCGGGGTACTTCTCCTTGATGTACTCATAGACCTGCAGGCGATGGATTAAACACAAGACCAGAAGACATACACAAGTGGGCGTCTAATGGTGTGTGCGCATGTCCTTGTGTGTTGGTGTGTGCATACCTTGTAGGGGTCTGTGAGGTCGCACTTGCCCTTGATGCTGGGCTGTGTGCCGAGCTGCAGCCAGAAATACACACACACACACACAGACAGAGAGAGAGAGAGAGATAAAGACACAGCAACACGCCTTGGCTGCGTCAAGACTTACACGCAGCCGCTTTAGTGTCTCGAGCTCTTGCCTGCAGTCCTCCCCCCTCTCTATGCGCATCGCCGCCACCATGATGAGAATAATAATAATAATGATTATGCTGCAGTCAGTGCGTCAGGAACAGACACACACACACCGTTCACGACAACCAACGATGCACACATGGACGATGGACACGACTTGGCGCTTCACTTACATGCCATTGCAGCACCAGATGATGATGATGATGATGATTATGATGATGATTATCTTCTTTTTCTTTTTCTTCTTCGCGGCCATTTCCTCGTCGCCCTGCTCCCCGCCGTCGATGGGCTCCTCCTCCTCGTCCACTTCCACCTCCCTCTCCTCCACCGACCAGTCGATGGCCATGCCATGGCGAGTGGCCTCGTCGAGGAGCTGTTGCTCGGCAGCCCCGCCGGCGAATTCTAGAGTCATTTTCTCCTCTAGGCCCTGCTTCTGAATCTCCTGCACAAACCACACACACACACACACAACACACAAAATCGTATAAAGTGCTGGCGGCGTGCTTGCGGTATTCACCTCGATCAGCTGGTGTGCATTCGTGTATTTGGTCGGCCTTCGATCCCTCGTATACCGGCGCTGGCCCTTGGTGTATAGGAGGTCCTTCTCGGCGCCTTGGCACGGTCCACCGTCACGTGCTGCACACAGCCAGCGACGAGCCAAACAAGAGGCGAAGGGACAAGAGTGTCCACAAAGGGCTGTCTGGCCAGGCTGGTTGAGTGACCTACCACCGTCGCCTTCTCCTGCTTCATCTGCGGACCGAACAGGTGGGTGATGTCCTTGGCGTAGCCGTTGCTGTCGTATTTGGAGCCCGCCCTCGTCTGCGCCACCTTGAAGGAGTGGCTTGCCTCCTGAATCCATGAGTGACAACACAACGCCACACACGATGAGTGAGAGTGAGACCCATGCAACACATGCAGTCGCCCTCGCTTACGTCATAGAACTGCACTGGATGTGCGCCGGGGATATTGCCCATGTCATGGCGCTGCTTGGCGCCAGCCAAGACGAACAGGCTATGGTCCGTCCGATTGCCCTTCTCCTTCTGATATCGCTCGATGATGCCCCTATCCTCAAATTCCCGCTCCCTCTCCGCTAGGCGTCACCCTCACAGCTCTGCGTGGCGCTGTTCGGGTGGTGGTGTGTCGCTGCCGTCGGGCATGCTTGCGAGTGTCAGCAAATGACGGCAAGACAAACCACAAACGAGGATGCGGCGGCGAAGAGATGGAGCGAGAAAAAGAGAAAAAAAGACAAGTCGAGACGGTCTCTAAGCGCGTAATTCTCGACCGGCCACAGTGACCTTTCCCCCTTCACATTCTCAGCAGCATCATGGATGTGCATCAGATGGGCAGGCAACCGCCACAGACAAACTTCTTTCATCAGATCTGACGATTGTCTTCCATTCTCGTGTGAGACTGTACAGGTCAGGGAGGGTACGCGAGCAGTTGAGGAGGGCCTGCGGCACCTGCAGGAGCTCAGCACAACGGTGTGCCTGCCTACCCGCCTGCCTGCACGAAACAAGCACTCTGTGTGTCTTCCTTGCAGCTTGGCGCGGTGCGGTCTCATTTTGAGCAAGCGCAGCCTCCCAGCCTCTCTGGACAGGTACGTCACACACACTGCTGCATCGCTCTCGCACATCGCTGCTGTTGTTTTGCACAGGCGCCGTCGGCCACCTCACTGGAACTTCATGTGCAGCGTGCCCTCGTCAGCTCCCACGTCGCCACAGCACAGTCGCAGCTCACGCGCACACATGAGGACGTGTCGCGGGTGGTGGATGCACTCAAGCCGATCCTGGCGGCCGCACCCAACCCCGCCACTCAGGATGATGCCGTGGTGCGCACAGCAGATGGCCGCAGCACGACACTCTCTCTGGGTGTTCATCGTTGGTCCTTGTTGCTCTGTGGTTTGCAGGCCCCTGCAGTGAAGCGCCCGTCATTTCGCCTCGTCTACAGAAGCGGCAACCCTCCACTTGTCAACCAAGGACACCAAGGACCGGCAAGAACGACCCCATGATACATCTAAACCAGCTCGACCTTACTTTTATGTCATGTTGGTTGTCACTTCAGGCCCGTCGTCGTCTGTCGCGCGACGAGTTGGCAAACATGCTCGGCCACCTGCAGCCCTGGGAGCTGGCGCCACACTGCCGGCGTCTCGGCACGCCCCTCTTCCATCAGTCGGCCGCCAACTACACCCACCTGGTCATCGACTGTGAGGACGACACGGCGCGGCGCATGTGGGCGGCCATGCCGCTGGCCGTGGCACACAACTGGGGAGAGAGGGCGACAAACGTCCGAGAGATCAGGCACCGGTATCCCAGTCGTCGAGAGGGCTGGTGCCGCGGGACCTGGGTGGCCGTGGTGGAGGGCCACGGGCGTGGCTGGGCGGCCATCGCAGAGAAGAAACGACGAGAGAGGGAGGGAGCGGAGGGGACAGCTGACGCTGCTGCGGTGGCGCAGGATGATGGCGGCCCCAGATTGGCTGACGAGGGCACATTGGAGGTGCTGTCCTTCGAGGAGGTCAAGCTCGACGACAGCATTGACATCCCCTACCCTCCCCCCTCATCTCTTCCGCCCCCCGCCCCCACCGCCCCAATCCACCTGCCGGCACTCAAGACGGTCGACAACATTCCCACCTTTTCCCTGGCTTCTCGTGTGGGCCGCCAGTGGCGCACCCCTGCCGTCAAGACGCTCATCACCAGGGACATTTCGGTGGCTAGTGGTCTAAGGGCATGGCTGGCTCACTGCGAGGCCATTGAAGTGCTGCACCTCAACGGACGGGACGCCAGTACGGCGGCCAGCGCGCTGAGTGGGCTGCCCGCCGACGGGAAGTCGTTGGCGGCGCTTCGTACACTCCGGGGCGTCCGGATGTATTGGAGCATCCCCGCCGCCATCGACAGGCTGCGTGAGGTGATGGTGGCGAGGGGCGTCAGCAGGTCCATTCGGGAGCTCGAGATCGGCATGGGGTGGATGCCGAGCACTGATGAGACTGTGGAGTGCTCGCAGAACGTCGCACGGCTCATGTAAGGACACAACAGAGAGAGAGAGAGAGAGGCTGCAGAGAGACGGTGCAATTCATTCCTGTGCTTTGCCTTCGATCAGTGACGCCATTGCTCGTCACGAGGCAGTGGAGAAGGGCGTCTTCGCACTCAACAACGACGGCACGTGTGGACGGATTGACGCGGAGCTCCTCTCGCGCAGCAGCACCGGCCCCGCCGCCGCTCAGCAGCTCATTCGCGACTTCGCCAAGAGAGCCGGCATGGTGAACTACAGCGGAGATGACGAGGCCATCCCTGCAGCCATCACCGATGACACATTCCCCGCCGCCCACTCCCTGCTGCTGCTCAGCGATGCCCTCGCCAATGGGGCCAAGAAGAAGCGGGCAGTCGAGATCGCCTCCCACATGCCCAGCCTGTCGTGCGTCGACGAAGGGGATGCTGCTGGGGACGGCGTGGTGCTGGATGCACCCGTCGGTGACCTGTGGAGCTTCCTCGAGCGGCTGCACGTGGAGTTGGTCAGGAGGGGCAAGGAGAGGAGCCTTACCCTGGGCCTCTGGCTGAGTCCTGCCGCATTCACCGCTTCCATGGAGGACCTCGCGAACCCCTGCCTGTGGGGGTGAGACTCTGACAAGCTGCCGCCGATCGAGACAGTGTACGTCAATATCGATGGTGAGCTCACCAACCATCGTATTGGGACGGCCATTGGCCCTGGCATTTGCGTATGGTGTATGTGTCTATTCGTTTCAGGCATTGAAGACGATGATCGGCATAAAGAGGATGCCGAATTGGAGACACTCTACCGGCATGTGATGGCCATGATCACGTCCTTCAACCAAAAGCTCAAGGTGAGCCACAGTGCACGGTGCGCCCAGGTGTCAGTCAGCAGGCTGCAGGGCAATGTGTGTGTGCGTCTTTGACCGCTCCTGGCTGAATGAATGACAGGGCCACAAGAAGACCTGTGTGAGTTTGCTCGGCAATGACCTGGGGTCCGACTTTGAGCGGCGCTTCCTGGATCAGCAGGCCTCTATCAACAACAGCGGCGGAGCATACGAGTTTAGCATCGCTCGCTCCGGCCTGCGTGTCGAGCGCCGTGATGCCGCTGGTCAATCAAATGGCTCTTCGTAGGTAAGAAGAAGCGCATCTCACACACCAGCCGCCCAGCTGCCCGCCGACGTGTCTGTCTGTCTGTCTGTGTTCCGTCAGATTAATATCGGGCAGCACAGACAGGCCGGTGCTGTAGCTGGTAGCCGCCAACCGATGTGTGGATGCTGCGTGAGAAGGCTGCTGACGGCGTGGCGCGGGATGAATGTCCGTGTGGTGCATAGGAGAGGCACTCACTCACGGCCGTCAGACACTGGATGGACAGCGGGTGTTGGTGTGTGTGCGGCCGTCATCTGTCTGATGGCTTCACGATGATGCTTTTCGTCAGTGTCTGCTTCGGCGGATTTGTATACGAAACCATCCACTAATTCCATTCGCCAAGAGGCACTCCTGGCCAACCACGGCGAGGTTCTGCAAGCTCAAACAACACCCTTCCCCGCAATTTCAATCGGCGCACCGGTCGATTGCTGCCGCCTTTGTTGCTTGATAGTTCTGTGTCTGGTTTTCCCTCGCCAGCACACGTGGCCGTCCTCCATGGACGTCAATCAGGTGACTTCAGACACTCGAGGGCTCAGAGGCTCAGAGGGCAGAGCAGAGGATGACGCACGCAGTGCACGAACAGAAGCACACCACCATCTTCCGATTTCTTCCTTGTGATGTGTTTGGTTCTCTCTGCGTTCAGTTTGTTGCGAACGCCCGTGCCGTTAAGGACAGCTTGGCGCTGCTCCTCGACCAAGATGCCGCCACCGTCGCCGCACAGGTGGGCGTTATTCGCTGACGGAGAGGCCTGCACGACAGAGGAGCCGCTCACTGTGTCCTTGGTTGATGCAGGCGTCGTCGCCCGAGGCATGGCTGGTGAATCATCAGCTGGGATCGATAGCCCCACTGCTGAGCACCCTCACGACCCGGCTCCAGCAGGGAGGGCCCAGCCTCGCCAGCGCTGTAGCTGTAGATGCACCCAACTCGACCACCGAGGCCGCTGCTGCATCGGGAGCGGCACACACAAAGCCACAGGTGGGGTGAGGTGGGGTGAGGTGGGTGGCCGTCCATCGGCAGCTGACCATGGATCCGCCCTCTGCGTTGTTGTGGCTGTCGTGTTGTCTTATTGCACTGCAGGCGGCTGTGGCCAGTGGTCCATCGTATCGTTTGATCCATCGAAGCGGCAACCCTCCACCCGTCAACCAGGGACACCAAGGACCGGTAAGGGCCACGCATTAGAATGAGTATGATTCAATCAGCCCATGGAGTGTTGTTGTCCTCTTGCTCTTGCTTCAGGCTCGTCGTCGTCTGTCGCGCGACGAGTTGGCCAACGTGTTCGGCCACCTGCAGCCCTGGGAGCTGACGCGCCACCGCCGGCGTCTCGGCACGTCACTCTTCCATCAGTCGGCTGCCAACTACACCCACCTGGTCATCGACTGTGAGGACGACACGGCGCGGCGCATGTGGGAAGCCATGACACTGGCCGTGGCACTCAGATGGGGGCAGAGAGCGAGCAACGTCCGAGAGATCAAGCACCGCCACCCGTAGTGGCGAGACGGATGGTGTTGCGGCACCTGGGTGGCATTAGTGGAGGGACATGGGAGTGGCCGGGCGGCCATCGCAGACGAGAAGAGACGGGAGAGAGAGGGCGGGGAGGGGACAGCGGACGCTGCGGCGGTGGCGCAGGATGATGACGACCCCAGATCGGCTGACGAGGGCACATTGGAGGTGCTGTCACTCGAGGAGGTCGACCTCGACGATAGCATTGTAATCCCCTACCCTCCCCCCTCACGAGCTCTGTCCCCCGCCCCCGCCGCCCCCATTCACCTGCCGGCACTCAAGACGGTCCGCAACATAGCCCACGATTGCCTGCTGGCGCGTGTGGGCCGTCAGTGGCGCACCCCTGCCGTCAAGGCGCTCATCACCAGGGACAATTGGGCGGCTAGTGGTCTAAGGGCATGGCTGGCCGAGGCCATTGAAGTGCTGGACCTCAACGGACGGGACGCCTATATTAGCGCGGCCGATGAGGAACTGGACCTCAACGGACGGAGGGCAGGCCTGACGGCCGATGCGCTGAGTGGGCTGCCCGCCGACGGGAAGTCACTCGCGGCGCTTCGCACACTGTGAGGCGTCCGGATATATTGGAGCAGCCCCGCGGACATCGACGAGCTGCGTGAGGTGATGGTGGCGAGGGGCGTCAGCCGGTCCATTCGCGAGCTCGAGATCGACATGGGGTGGATGCGGAGCACTACCTTCACTGTGGAGCTGTGCCAGAGCGTCGCACGGCTCATGTAAGGACACAACAGAGAGAGGGACACAGAGAGAGAGGCGGGGAAATGCAGACAGCTCAATTCATTCCTGTGCTTTGCCTTCGATCAGTGACGCCATCGCCCACCCCGAGGCAGTGGAGAAGGGCGTCTTCGAGCTCAGCAACGACGGCACGTGTGGAGAGATTCACGCGGAGCTCCTCTCGCGCAGCAGCACCGGCCCCGCCGCCGCCCAGAAGCTCATTCGCGACTTCGCCAAAAGAGCCGGCACCGTGGCATACAGCGGTCTTGACGAGGCCGTCCCTGCGGCCATCAGTGACGACACATTCCCCGCCGCCCACACCCTGAAGCTAATGGGTGATGATGCCCTCGCCAATGGGGCCAACAAGAAGCGGGCCCTCGAGATCGCCTCCAACATGCCCAGCCTGTCGTGCGTCAAGGCAGGAGATGAGGAGCACGAAGTGGAGCTGGATGCACCTGCTGGTGAGGTGTGGCGGTTCCTCGAGCGGCTGCAGGCGGCGCTGGTCAGCAGGGGCAAGGAGAGGAACCTTTCAGTCCAGTGGTATCTGGGGACGGGTGCATTCGTGCCACTGGAGCCCGTGCACAACAAGAGCAGCCCCTGTCTGTGGGATCGGGGCATCGGCCAGTTGCCGCCGATCGATGAAGTGAGGATCTCCGTTCATGGTAAGGGACATGAGACTGCATGGTGGTTGTGTCCATTCACCATGCATTTCAGGCGGTGTAGCCGATGACGCGCTGGACGAACTCTACAACAGCGTGATGGCCATGGTCTCCTCCTTCAACCACAAGCTCAAGGTGCGTCACACAGCACAGACAAACAGCACACCGACAGACAGCACACCGACAGACAGACCACAGACAGTCGCTGGGCAATGTGTGTAAGCCTCTTGTCGTGCTGGCTGATCGACAGGGCCACGAGAGGACTGAGGTTTTCTTTACAGAGTCGCACTTGGAGTTTATGCAGCGTTTCCTGGCACAGCAGGCCTCTCTCAACTTCAATGGCGGCCCATATAAGCTCAGCTTTGACGATATCACCCTGTTCGTCGAGCGCTGCGCCTGACGTGTCCAGCTGCCGATCAGGTGAGACCAGGCCCAGCTGCACCACCGAGACGACCTTACCGATGTGTGTGTCGTCCGACTCAGAAACGTGAGTCTGGTTGGGGCGGGTGGTAGCTACTCGAGTGCGGCAGATGCAGCTGGCTTGTGCGGACAGACGATGCGTGGAGGGTGGACAAACACGTGTGTGTGTGTAGGTATCTGTGTGTGTGTGACCTAGTTAATTCGTGACGATGACCAGATTGATTCGTGCCATCCATCCATCCATCCATTTATTTGTCCAGACATTCGAATTTATTGGGCAGCGGTGCCGCCTTCCACCACACACATTCTCACACAGACGCACAGAGAGAGAGAGACTTACATATGTACACTCACATGCACTTCGCATCTGCTGTCTGTCCCGTCCGCCATTTCACCCATACCGAGAGCACTAAACAAACCACACCGCTACGCCCTGCCTGCTGGCTGCCGGCTGCCAGCTGTCTGTCTGTCTAGCTGGGAAAGGACCGGTGGAAGTGGATATTCTTCCACTCCTTCTTGCCGTCGCCCATCTTGTGCCACACCCTGGTCTCCTCCGTCGCCACCGTCTCCGGCGACCCCTGCCGCATCACCTGCATCAGCCGGTTGTACGTCACCACGGCTGTCTCGTTGCCCAACAAACGAATCTGCTCACCCACCCAAAGAAACAGACAGGGACATCACACACAGCCATGCAAGAGCCGAGTGCCCCTCTCCTGCTCGCCTTGAGGTTCGTGACGGTCACTTTGGCGGGTGCACTGGCGTCCACCTCCTTGCCGACCGATGTGGTCTTCTTGGCCGCCGTCAGGTTGAAATAGTACTGTGACGAACAACACACACACACACACACACACACGGTAGAGGAGATTGACGCCGGCAGAGGAGATGCGGCTGCCCACCTTGTGGAAGTCCAGGCCCTCCACCAGATAGCCTTTCGATTCAGGCTCGAAGCAGGTCAGCGAGGGGTCACAGAGCTGCTTGTACGTCTCCCAGTCGCCATCTGTGATGGCCTGCAGAAGCCGCTTGTTCAGCGCATTCAGCTCCTCTATCTCCGATGGAACGGCCGGCATGCTGCTGCTGCTGCTGCTGCTGCTCTCGAGTGCGGGGACCGGCCACACCTGGGATGCTGCCGCAGAATGCGTTGCCGCAGCGGCGTGTGTGAGAAGGGGTGATCTGCCGCTGAAGAGAGCCGGGTTGCTTCGGATGAGAAGGAACAGCAGTGCGTTGAGCGGCAGAGGGCTCAGGGGCATGAATCACGTGGCAGCAGACGCCAGCACGACTGTTCACCTGCTCACAGACACGTATGATGGATTCCGATCACAGATCTCGCATCCTTCTTGTGGCTGTGGCTGCTTACGTGGCGTGGGGAGAGAGACCCGCCGGAAAGAACGCGAGCTGAAGTCATTCTGCGAGCTTTTTGAAGCAGAAAGATCAGGCAAAAGACAAAACGATGTAGCTCAGGCTAGACACGTGCTCACACAGCAGACATGGACAGCTTCCGAGATTGGACGATTGTGTTAGGCAGCTGGCTCGTGCACTTCGCCAGCCTTGGGACAGTCTACACATTCGTAAGCAGCAAGCAGCGCTCAGATGCAGGCACACGCATTGTCTTGTCCTTGTTGTGCTGTCTTTTGATGCAGGGAGTGTTCTTTCCATATTTGTTGGCAGGATTCGGGGCGAGCAAGGCGGTGACGAGCCTTGTCTACTCGGTGTCTGCGTCGTGCTTTATGTTCTTTGGCTTCTTGAACGGTGCCCTTGTTCGGCGATATGGCCACAGAAGGTGTGGAAACAAGCACTCGGTTAAAGTGACCGAGGAAAAAGACCGTTAGCCTCTGTCTGATGATGTTGTTATTGTTGTCTCATCAGGATGGCTCGAGTGGGTGCGGTGATTGTGCTCGGTGGCCTGATTGCAAGCTCGTTCGTCTCTGATTTGTGGCAGCTGTTTCTCACCTATGGCGTCATCAGCGGCTTCGGCTTCGGCCTCAGCTATATGAGCTGCATCACCATCATCGCACTCCACTTCGACAAACACAGGGCGACAGCCACTGGTACACGCAGACACCAACCATTCCTCATTCGTCACATTTGCTTTGATGGTTCGTTCCATGTTGCAGGCCTTGCTGTGTCGGGCAGCGGCATCGGCACTCTCGCCCTCGCGCCAACGTTTGATGCCCTCCTGGCGAGTATCGGGTGGCGCCACACATTCCGAGTCCAAGCGGCCATCTGCACGGCCTTGATCGTTGCCGCGTCCTTCTTCTTCAAGCGGCCACATCAAAGCGATCCCTACCAGCAGCCGCAAGACCAGCCACAGCAGCGAGAGAAAGACTTAGAGGCCAAGCAGCTGCCGGCTGCCGATGGGGATGCCGCTGCTGATGATTTGAAGGTGGTTATTGACGAGAAAAGCGGCTACTTTGTCATCGAGAAGGCGACGTCTGCCGGGGAGGGCGAGGTGGAGGAGACCTCAGCCACTGGGAGTGACGATCGTCCACACACGCCGCTGCAGCCGTCAGAGCCGCCATCAGCAGCACCACCGGCAGCCGCAGAAGAGGCGCCCGCACCCCCAGCACAAGACAAATCGCACCCCGATGAGGGAAGGGGGAAAGAAGTACAGTCCGTCGTCACTGCAAAGCGGTCGTCGGCTGCTCCGGAGCGGCAGAAATCCTTGATGAGGCTATTGCCCGCGCTGCATTTCGACTGGTCGCTGTTTTGCGACTCGAGGTTTGTGGTTCTCTTCATTGGCTCGTTCTTCTGCTCCTTCGCATACTTCGGTAAGCGACGAATGAAACGCGCAGCCACATGGCATCACGAGGCCACCGGCACATCTATATCATGCCTTATATGTTGCCTTCGTATTGTGTTGTCTTGCTACGTTCAATCAGTCCCTTTCTCCCACTGGGTCGAATGGTAGGCGACAAATCACACACACACACGACACCGAGGGCACCAAACGGATTTTGCTGTGTTGCATGCCAATCTCTTTCGTGTATTCAGGGGCATCGAGAACGGCATAGCCTCTGACCGAGCGGCCCTCACCGTCACGGCGTTCGGCGTCGCGTCGACCGTCAGCCGTGTGTTCGTCGGTCGCGTGGCTGACTCACTTGGCCGCGTGAAGGTGTTCTGGCTCGGCACCCTGATCATGTGTCTCGATCTCGCCTTCCTGGCCATCGCCGACCAGCTGTGGCGGCTTATCGTGTTCGCCCTGGTCCTCGGCATCGGCTCGGGCGCTTTCATCGCCTTGACGCCGGTGATCACGGCTCAGCTGTTCGGCAGCCATCGGCTGCCTGGCGGCTTGGGGTTCATCTACTGCGCCATAGGCACCGCGAATGCGATGGGGCCGCCATTCGCCGGATGGGTGGCGGACCAGATCAGTTACCCTGCCGCCTTTGGCTTCGCCGCTCTGGTGATGGCTGTCGGGTGTGCCTTCATCGGCGTACTGTGGGCGTGGACTGCGTGTGGGGTTGGTGAGAGCCGGGAGCGCTTTATGCGGGCTTTGTCTTGTCAAGGGGGGTTGGCAGGGCAGCGGCTCAGCCGGCCGCCGAGTGCGTGAAGGGGGAGGGGAGGCGTGATAAGTAAAGCTCATGAATGCGTTTTTTGGGGAACGTGAGAAACTATCATTTATTCCCGGCCACTGGTTCAGCCGGCAATTGTGCATACGGCTTTTTCGGACACACATTCCAGCTCGCGAGAGCGAGGGGATTTTGACGTCCACGTGTGGGTGCCGATGGATGAAGGTCGGGAGGATGCGTGTGATTGATTACTCACTGCATCCTCACCCGCCCCCCCAACCAGGCAAAGCGAGACGTCCCGTTTTCGTATCTCGGCTGGTGTGTACAGTGTGCCGATATATGGTGGTGGGGGTGACTGCGTGCTGTGCTGTGCAAGTGACAGGTGTAATCCTGCAATCCGACCATTCGTTGATGGTGACTGGATCATGAAATGAGCAAGCCTCCCTCCCGCACAAACAACGCCCCCACCGTCCCTACTGTTAGCTACTACTAGTACTGGCAGCACTAGCATACAAATCACACCCGTGGCGAAATGACCAGATAAAAACTCACACAGACCAGAAACAGAGCTACTGCAGACACATGCATCCCTCACATGGCAGCCGACCGGCTATTCACGCAGACAGCGGGCCAACAGTATCGTCCTCGATCCCCAATTCCCGCAGGAACGGCCGCAAACGACCCATGGTGGCGGGGAAACGCTCATCGAGAGTCCAGCCGTCAGCCACAGCCACAGCCACCTCAGTGGTGTCGATCTCGATGAAACCGTATGTTACCAATGAAATCCATGCCAGATGCGGGTATGCATCCTCCTGACACGGCCCCTGAAGCAGGAACACGATCCTGCGGTGGGAGATGGGCCCGACGTACTCAGGCTGCAGCACCCAAAGGTACCCGTGGTCCTTCCACGAGTCGAAGACAAACATGTCCGCCCCATCAGCCATGTCTTTGCTATGCAGTGCCCGCCAGCGGACGTCGGCGATGCCGAAGATGCCCACATCGACCCCCCACAAGCGCGTCCGCCGCTGCTGAACTGCTGCGCTGTCCAGCAACTGGTTGGCGATGAATGACGCAAAGGAACGATGCAGCAATAGGTCGCAGCGGATCGGCGGGTCACGGTGACGAAAGTCTTGGCGGTAGGGGTGCCAGCTGCACATTTCGAGCAGCTTGACTTCACGAAAGATCTTGCCGCCCATGAACAGCAAACGCACGCTGCGCCTAGCACTCTCAGGACCACCTCCAGCGCAAAACAAAAGCCGACAGAGAGGATGAGGGCCACGGTAAAGTCCGCCAGGATCGACAGGCACATCCACCCTAAGGTGCTCCAGAAGGGGTCCTTAGTGAAGAGGCCCACGTACTTGAAGATGTCCAAAACAAGTTTGGTCAACAAGTAGGTCCAATAGAGCGGACATAACACCAAATACCACCGGCCCTCCAGCCCGTCAAGCATGCCGGTCATCAACATCACCTCAGTCCTTGGTATCGACCGCCTGACAGCCATGGTAGTGGTCGTGCTGCTTGTACTGCCCCTGTCGAGTTCAAGGAGGTGGCCGATAGTGTTGAAGGCGGCCACGGAAGCCGGCAGCCGATTGAAGATCGCCGTGTCGGGCAGATAATGCGCCACGAGCCACTCAGCGGATATCACCAGGGGCAGCCGCCCAGTTGTCACCGCCCCGCAGGCGGTCGCCAGCCGCACCACAGTGGCCATCTGGCGCCACCCAGCCGCCCTGTCGATTATGTGAGCGCACCGACAGAGATACCCAAATCGGGAGAGAGACGGGGCGGCTGGCTGTGTGTCACCGGGATCCCTCTCCACATCAACGAGGCCGCTCAGCCGCTGCTGTGCGAGGCATCTGTCGATGTGGCGCATCAGGAAGGCCTCATCGACGGCTTTGCTGAGCGTCCTGCTGGTCGGGCGAACCTTCACAGCCTCAACCAGCGATAAGAAGGGCAGAACCGCCGCAGAGTAGACGTCAGCCGGGAGCGGCACAGCAACGACAGATCTCGTGAGATCTCCGCCCCTCTGAGCGTCATCCTCAGGCAAGATGGAGATGACCACAGACGAGAGCTCCTCAGTGTCGTCCGCTTCGGGGTCGACTTTCTTGTACGAATGCCGCCACCTCCGCCATCGCCAAAGGAACCACCTCATCGCGAACGACCACGGTTGGGAAAAGTGCTCGTCGGCTCTAGCACAGAAAGGGCTGCGAGCTCAGACGAGAGAACGAAGAACAGGCCGAGGACGCCGAGGAGCACTTCGCCGCTGTGGCGAGCACACATCGCAACGTCACTCTGCAAAACCGCCACATTTGACCACATTCACAAGCGATGCTGAGTTCTGTGTTGCGAGAGGGAGGGCCCCTCCTGGGGAACCTCAAACGGAGCATGAAGGTGTGAACGGAAACCCATGGATGAAAGACCTGCCTCCCATCTCTTCCCCCAATCTCTGTTTTTGTGGTCGACGCGTTCGTTTGTCGGCAGTTGGAGCGTCTTCACATCCCGAAGCCTCGTCGGGGCGAGGTGCTGCTCAAGACCACCTCATGCGGCGTGTGCCACACAGACCTACACGTCATACAGGTGGGCTGGTGCATGCAGAAGAAGATACATCGATGCATGATCGATAAGGGTCTGTCTGTCTGTCTGTGTGTGTGTTGGTTCAGAAAGAGGTGCCCTTCCCGATGCCGGCAGTGATGGGCCACGAGGTGTGTGGTGAGCTGGTCGACTTCGGCCCCTCAGTGAGCGAGCAGGAGAGGATCCGGCTGACCAGTGGCGGGGCCACGCACTTCGTGGCGCCCTTCATCATGCCATGTGGAGAGTGCCATCAGTGTGTCGAGGGCCAGGAGGACATCTGCGATACGTTTTTTGCCATGAACAGGGTGAAGGGCACGCTCTATGATGGCGAGACCCGCTACTTCACCGAGGCCTCCAATGAGCCGATAGCCATGTACAGCATGGGCGGCCTCTCGCAGGTCAGGCAGAAAGGCCAAACAAACATCACATAGATGTGCGTGTGTGTGCTGTCCGGTCTTCATTCATTATCCAGTACACTGTGGTGCCGGTCTCGTCGGTGTTTCCCCTCCCTCCCGTCAGCTTCCCCCCGCACCAGGCGGCGATACTCGGCTGCGCCATCTTCACTGCCTACGGGGCCATCAAGAATGCGGCCGACTTGCAGGTGGGGCAGAGCGTGTGTGTGATCGGCGCGGCGGGCGGTGTGGGGTCCAACATACTGCAGATTGCCAGGGCCTACCAGTGCTACCCCAGGTATACACACGTGCATACGACATCCAAAGGTGTGCAGGTGGTGAGTGACTCTGCGTTGTGAGTGCCTCTCTCTCTTTGTCAGGATCGCCGTCGACGTGAACGATGAGAAACTCGCCGCATGCCGGTTAGTTGAACACTCACCGACTCACTCACCCAGACGCATCCTCCCCCC